AGGAGCATAAACAGAAGAAGAGGATAGATTCAGCATTTAAGGAGTTTGAAAAGAAAGCCACTGAGCTTAGATCATTGGAGGGCAAGTATGGACCATTTTCTATGCCTGAAACGAGCAAGGACCCTGTTGCAGATAAGAGAGCAAAGGTGGAATTGTTGAGAGGAAAGGCAGAAGAGGAGAAGTCTAAGCATGAGAAGTCTGTGGGTGTAACGAGGGCAATGACCTTGAATAATTTGCAGATGGGGTTTCCACACGTCTTCCAGGCAATGGTGGGATTTTCCAGCGTTTGCATGCAAGCTTTTGAATCTGTGTACAACCAAGCCAAGAGCATTGATCAGGAGCATGATGTGAAGAGGATACTCCCTTGCTAAAGAATATCATGTAGCTGGAAACGATGCAAAACTACACAATTCTTGGATTGACTCCTAGGCAAAGTTTTGGGTCCTTAACTAGGCCTAGGGCATTTTGAGAGAGGATAGTAGCGCTGGACTGGGGGCTTGGTGAGTTGATTTGGGAGGGGTGTTTGGAGTTTTCAGTTAGATTGTATGTATATTGACTTCTGTTTTGGCATAGAAAATGTTGAAGTTGAATATTTTCAACCTTTTTTCCTTAAGGTGTTTGCATGTTAGAATTGACCTTTCTTCTTGATCATTCTGTTAATAGAGAGATTTCTGTGTTGGATGTATGTCAGTGATAGATTTGCCAAGCACAGAAGCCGTTCTACTACATGCTCCATGGCTTTCAGCAAAAACTGGTTTATTGCGAAGTCTGCTTGTTACTTTCTTTTTCACATCAAGTCCTCTTTACATTCTTCAATCCTTTTCTCAGTCTTATTTGACTATAGCATTTGGATCGTATCTCAACCAAGTTCCCTTGTGTGGAAAATAGACCATTTTACATGACAACCTCCGGAACAAATCAATGAGGGCCTCACACACTGGGGCATGTGTTTTTAAAATAACATATTTACAAAAACTAAGGTACTCAAAATTTACAGAGGCAATCTTGTCTAGTATTCATAAGTTCAACAAGTAACTAATAAACACAGCTTTTACCTCAATCAACCTAGAGGTTATATGGAGCAACACACTTGTGGCACAACCAAGTCAAGCGCTTGTCTCTTTTGAGAGACAAGAACATTTCCCGTGCACTGGGATTGTTGAATAGCTCTAGGGCAGCAAAGTACACTCGCTCTTCAACCCCTTGCAGTTCATCCAATTCTCTAATACAACTAGCAATGCTATACCTGGCGTTATGTTGTTTTACTGCAGCTGTCCTTAGCTTTGAAGCAGCTGCCATCTCCAATATAGCTGCTGCAATAGCATCATCAATTCCTTTGCGTCCTCTTTTGCGATTGCTGTTTGAAGCAGGTGTAGAAGTTGGGACTGCATCCGGATCTTTTTCCACATCATCCATCTCCTCAGATTCTGTTGAAGATTCCAGTTTAATCATATTCAAGGGCTCAGCAGATTGCTCACACTTTCCATTGGTTGTTGGCTCTGAGAATATTACACAAAGTTGTTTGTAAATTGGGCAGCCATTGCTTTTTATCGTTTCAGTATCAGGTTGACCCTGTAAGTAAACAACACAGATAAGCTCAGCTCAAAACTAGGATTTGGTGGAAGCAACTCCAATGCCAAGTAACAGGTTAGAGGAAACCCCCTTAATTAGGCAAGTATAGATTTGCTTACACAACATAACAGAAAGGAAAAGAAGATACCCTGATATATTCAGCCCAAGCTTCATCATTAGCTATAATAGCCCCTGTAGATTCATCCCAAGTGAAGTCTTTTTGATCAAGCAGGCACTTGACAAGAGCATACTGCCTCCTTAAAACCGCAAATCTATTCTTCAGTTGCTCTTTGTCCCATTTCAAATGCGTTTTCCTGTTGAAGGCATCACAGATAGACTTCCATGCTTTTTTGCTGAAAGAATTGTTCAGTCTATTCCCTTTATGAACCTGTCCAACTAGCAGGTCCACAAGTACCCCAGTCAGCGAAGTTGTCCACTTAGCCCTCAACTGTTGTTCCTGCTCTTGCTCCTGCTGCTGCTGCTGCTGCTGCTGCTGCTGCTGCTGAGGTGGTTGTCTCCTCGACCTTGTCACTCGACTCGTCATCTACAATCTCAGCAACAGAAACAAAATCACATCCATTTTACAATATAACACCATTGCAACTTAGCAATTCAAATTCTATTCTACCCAATTAATCATCTTTGTTTGTGATCATAACCCTTAAGGCAACCCACCCAAAATCTAAACCAAAAGGAGGAATATGTAGCTTTGACATTGGAACCCAAAGAATACCTTCCACTCTAAACATGTTTAGCTAGAAAATTGAGAGTTATTTCAAAGCAACCAAAAAAAAAAAAAAAAAAAACCCAAAGAAACACTAAATTTGGTTTTAAAGAAATTGAAACAGCAGACACTCAAGAAAAATTAAGCACTGGTATACAAAGAAGCCATTCCATAAAACCCTAATTCAGATTCCTCCAAAGAAAGCTAAAATTAGAGAACATTAACAATTATATGGAAATAAACTGTAACCCTAGAATGGGCAGAGTAGGGGAAACGAAAACAATTTACCTTGTCGTTGAGGAAAACTCCGTCTCCCCTGCCCAAGGCTGATGCGTGTCTGCCTATCTCGCTAATTGATTAACGATAATCACTTTATTTATTTCTTTTTCCTTTTTTTTTGAAAAAAAAAAATTTCTATTATTAAATCGAAATTACCCTCCAAATCCTAACGCAAGAATGAGAACTCGCGTTCGCGGGGTTTATGACATCAAAACAGCCCCTAACTTTACATTTATTCACAGCATTGCCCTACAAAACTATTTTTTTTTACTACTTGTTTTTCCTTTTTAAATGATATTAAAAATAATTCTTATCTTATCCAAAAAATAATAATAGTAATAATAATAATTGGCTTCACCATTTCGTCCTTGAATAAACCAAACCGATTGTATATTAGCGCATCATGATTACGAAATTATAATTTTATATGATATATTGCATCTATATAGTCTATATTATTTTCAAATTAGTATTCTCAAATTGAAGGAGGAACAGAAAACACAAGATATACAAAAAAAAAAAAATCTTGTTTTACAGTTCAAACAGCAACAAATTGTAAAATTAAAACCATTAAAAGAGAAAACCTCCAATATTAGAAAATCCATCCCATAAGATGATTGATTTAATATAATTTAATACAATCCGAATTGCATTATACTTTTTTATACAGAAAAATTTACACGTCATACTCGAAGCATGAAAATATTTTACAGCGGATAGCCAATGTAGGGTGAGCCGTGGCTTTTCGAACTAGTACCTCTCACCAATCTTCGATTTCATCATCAGAAATTTCACTTTCTTGGTCATCTATACCCATCTTCTCGTAATTTTCATCTTGGGTGTCAGTGCCTTGCATCAATAGATCATGTGTTTTAGGACAGGAGGCTCTGTATCCAAGCCATTTTAACACGGGGCTATACTCTGTAGCCATGACCGATGCTTCAGGTAAGCTCGATATATTACATGCATAATATCTCCGCCTTATCATCTCTTTCTGCAATGATCCATAAGGAAAACCCATCTCAAGGCCATGTAATTTATCATTTATGAATGTAAATTAGAGACTTCTTTTTATTTAAAAGAAAAAAAAGAAAAAAAGTGATGTGGGAACAAACTGAAAGGTGTAAAGAGAGACTGACCTGATTGCGTGATGATGATTGCTCAATCTGCCACAGCTTTGGTTTGCGAATAGCATGCCACCTGGCATGTTCATAACTGGTTATATAACTCAGTTTAAGGAAGGTCATAGAAAACAATTAATTCAGGTGTCTGAGTAAAACCTAGAAGGTGATGGATGAGAATTTCCAAATAAAACTCCTCGAACTGCAACTGAAGCGCCAGCAGACTGTAGAATATTCTCTGCCTCATTATGTCTAGCCAGCATTCCTCGGAAAGAAGCAAGAAGCACATCAGCATCACTCAGATATGAAGTCACAGACCATGCATCATCCATTGCTTCGTCACTCAGAAAATCTAGAACTGCAGGATAATTGTTCACATGAGTTGGAAAGCTATATCATCTTGTTAGAGAGTAACCAAAAGTAGAACAAATGCCCACCAATTTTGTTCAGCTTATTGGTATGAATGCTGTCGTAAACATGCACACATGCAGGTTGGGGGGCAAAGACACACACACAGAGATGACAAGAACTACTGGAAATAAAAAGGATACCATTTTCATGAAGAAAATCAGCAATAGGCCTTGCTTGCCCATGTGCCTGACAAAGAATCTTTTCTGGAGCATCCATTTTTAATGGAAGTCTTGAGAATTTCTCTTGTACATGAAATGTTTCCTGGTCTATAGAATAGAAATAGAACCATGAGATAGTATGAAGACATTTAGAACAGGATTATAAAAACATTCATAAAACTAGATTGCCACATAAATGGTTACCCGTCCCTCTCTCTGCTTACATTAAAATTCGAAAATGGAAAATTAAAGCTTCTATTAAGACTTACCCAAGGCAGCAACATTTTCAGCCTCCCTTTTGTTGTGCAGGAATTTTCCTAGAGCATGAAATAGAGTTAGGGTCTCATCTCTACCATACGGTAAAGAAAATCCATCATACAAATTTGCTTCTTCTTTTGTGTGACTTGGAGCAGAATCGGATAATGACATATTAAGCACTTGCTCTGGTTTCAGACAAGATAGCTGCAAGGATGTAATCGCATGTCTAATGTCACCTCCACTGGCTTTTGCTATTTGATCAATGTGTTCAGCAGTCACATTATATTGCTCCTCTCTACATATTCTAGTGAGTGTCTTCTTGACAGCATTAGTTGTTATAGGATTAAAAGCAACCTGAAATTTTTCCCAGAGCAGTTTGAACTTTGAAGTGAGCATTCAGTGAGAGCAAAATGATAAAGCCAAGACCAAATATTATAAAAAATACCTTACTAGCTCCAGCACTCTGAAGTGACAATTGAAGCTCTTCCAACCATCTTGCAGTGTTGTCTGATGAATCCTCATTACCATAGTCAGTGACAAATATAACTGTCGGAACCTGAGTCGATCTTACAAGAAGAACCAAGCAGGTTTTAAGTCTTTCAAAAGCCATTCTTCCAGTAGTTACAGGAAGATCATCAATCACAAGAATAATTGAAGAATTTCTTTCTCCAGGGAATGATGACCAGATCAGTCCATACTTCCTTACTCTCTCAACAAAGTTCTCAAACTCATCCAACTTAGAAGTGTAATTTATCCCTAGACAACAGCACAAACAAGCCACCATTAGAAAACAAAACCATTCATCATCAAAAGGTAGAAAATTAGTGTGGTAATGCTATGATTTCAAATTTGAAGTTCCATTAGATACACACAATACAATTCATACTTTTCTAAGTATAAATAAGCAGCCTCGAAAAGGCCCTCTTGCACCCAGTGTGACAAGAAATTTCTTTATTTGTCAAACTGATAAAAAAATTATACCCAATTTCATGAACAATATGCACCTAAATACCTGCACTTGAGTTATGAACATGTTCTTGCCAAATTGTGGGAGTTGGGGTGTTCCATTCACATAAATGGGCTCCAATGTGAGATGCAATCACATGGACAGTTGCCTGCAATATGAGAAGCAGGACATTTCATATATCAATTGGGGATTTTAAAGTTCCAAGTTGATTCAATAATACCACTCAATTTTACACAAAAATCAATTGCTGATCAGTCAGTAAGTTTGATATTAGCAAAGTTTGAAGACTGAACTGCTGAGTACACATCGCTGCAGTTCTATCCAATGATCAAATGCATTGTGAATTCATAATGAAGGAAAGGGAAATTGCAAAGCTAAAGCAACTCGTCCAATAAAGGTTCATGCAAGACCAATCAGGCACTTAAAGATATCTGACTCAGTCCATGGATCACTTTCTCTAGTCCTATATTCTCGGGCTACTTGGAATTAGTTCTTCAAGTAACAAAATCAACATCAACCCCAATAAAATTCAGTAAAACAAAACTTCAAATGACACATAAGAAGAGCCAAATAGAAAAAACACAATATTTTCATGGTCACAGAAACATAATAACTAAAAATACAGTAGATAAAGAATCATCCTTTGCCAAGACAACCTACAGATTTTCCAACCCCAGCTTGCCCAGTGATGATGAGAACACAGTTGTTAAACCTATCCTGTAAAAATGAACAAAAAAGCATGAGCTCCCATAATTGAAGTGAAATCTACAAACTCAAATGGGAAAAAAAGAAAACTAGGAAACACCATATGTGCACTGGTGTTTAACAAAAACTGGCCAGTTTTCTATCATGGCCCCAACCAAAAAACTAACAATTTAGGATCTTCCACTTCTTTTAATTTCCGCTTTGTTTTTTTACATTTTTTGAGAATCAGGAACCCCCACTTCAACAAAAATAACATTACCTTCGGGGTCTTCAACCTCTCCTCAAGCCATGTTTTAACTTCTTCAACCTGAAAAATCAAGGGAGAGGTTGATACAACATTCATATTCAAAATTAATAATACAAAGCATGTTGTCTTACCTTCTTCTTGTGAACAGCAAGCTCTTGCAAAGAGCGGGGTTTATATTTATCAACCCATAATTCCTTGAGGTTGCTCTTTCCAGAACCTGAATCATGTTTTAGTTCCATTCAGCATCAATGGAAGAAAAAACATCTATAAGGCCAGAAGAAGAAGAGAAAAAGAAATCTATCAATAAAATTAACCCAACTGTTTAAAAATTCTGACCAATAATTCTTAGAAAAGAACTCAGCTTTTGAGTCCCAAACAACACTAAGAAATTGTTGGGAAATGAATATAAACTATAATGAACTCCACCATTAGCATACCAGAAGATACCTTGAACCCATTCAAGACTTCATTAAAATCTTCAAAAGCCAATCTAATCTGCAATAAAAGGAGCCAAGCATCACATTCCCATTTCTCCAGAATAAAAATATAAAAACTTTGAATAAGAAAAGAAAAAAAAATCAAATGACAGAAACAGAATATTTACCTCATCTACATTGCTCAAACTTTTACTCACGCAAGACCGAGAGCCTGAAATCCGAGGCTTCTTGGCTCGACTAGGGTTAGTACTGGCGAATGAGGACCTGGATTTCGGTTTCTCATAGCTCCGCTTCACTCTCGACGGACGCCCGCAGTCTTCATCGTCCGATGACGATATAACAACAGTGTTCTTTTTCCCCATCGGTATCAATATCGAGTTCAGAAGCTACAACACTGAGGGTTTTGTACAGCAGGGAATCAAAAGGTAGCAGAGAATCGAGATGAATGTAATTAAATCGGTCTCAGTCCGATCGAAACCCTAGGAAAGAATGCATCTTGGGGCCGGAAAAGGAGAAGGAAATGGGAAATTGCAGAGGTTTGGCGGGGGGTTGGAAAAATCGCGGGGTTTTGCAATAGAAAATATGAAGGGGCGACAGGGCGTACATGAGAAGCTAGTGATGAAAAGGGTTATGTTAAAGTGCGTCACGAGACTAGTATGTTTTCCGTGAGCCTACCTCTTTCAGCCGTTGATTTTTTTTTTTTTTTAATTTTTGGTTTGATAATAAATAATTTTTAGAGTAATCCAGCAATAACATAACAAAAAATTAATTTGCAACTTGTACTACATCAAACGGTAAAATAATTATTTTTAAAGTAAGAGATAGTAAAAGAGGACCTATAATGCCAACCGGGCATCTGCCGAATTAGTTGGCTCCACGCCTCTAAAGCTTGGGGTGAGGCGGAGATCAGGGTTTCGAGTTCTGCCATCGTCGTAAATTTCACTAACTTGCGACCTAATGGTCGCGCGTCTTAAATGAGGGGTGAAAGGTTCTCTTTCCTGAAAAAATTTCAGCTGCTAACTAACTAACTCTACTAACTTCTTAACCATCTACCTGGTAAAAAAAAAAAAAAAAGAAGAAAAAGAAGAAAGAAAGAGGACCTATAATGGGAATCCTCTCTTATCTAGTGGTTACTTTTTTTTTATAAAGGATTTTTGGTATGAAATTTAACAAGTGAAAACTTTAATTTTCACTTTTAATGTTTAAAAAAATTATATTAAGTCATATTTAAAAAATAATAATTTTATAATTTGATATAATTTAAACTATAAAATAAAAAATTTATAATATAATATACTTTTATATAATATTAAGATAAAAATAAAATATCCAAAATAACAAAGTTCAACTTAAAGTTAAAAAAGAAATTATTTATTTATCTAAAGTTTGAAAAAAAGGGAGAGGAGTGGAGAGGAATAAATTCAACCCAAATATATCCTAAAAACCCAAATACATTCTTAGGATTGGCCATGAATCATTTCATTAAAGCCAGTTTTAAGTAATGCTATACCAATAGCCATTAGAATTTTTTTTTAAAGAGAGACAATTCACTTTTATATTTTTAAACTTTTATCCATTTTACCTGCAAGGCAAGTGTTCTTACTTCACTTGAATGGAAAATTACCACAAGAGCCTCCTTAGGTGGATGGCATACCAATAGCAATTAGTAGTTAATGAAGAAATTGTACTTCATATAAGTCAAATATAGAATCAAGCAAACAAAATTAGTATGTTTGACTAGCCATTTAATTTCCCCAACTACTTGACCTTTTGGTATGACCCCATGTTTCTCCATTCAACATACCACCAAAATTTCAATTTCAATTGTTAATTTGTCATCCAACTTTCATTCCCAATTATTTTTTGGTCAGATCATTTTATAAGTAAAATTAACTATTTTTTTTTTTTTTTATTTATCACATTAAATAGTATTTATTAAATATTATATAACTAAATAATTTTTAAAAATAATATAGTTTATTTATTATTCATTTTTTATTAACTACAATTAATTTTTACTCAGTATTTACTAATTTTTAATTGTTAATTTAAAATTATTACACCAAACAATTCCTTAATTACAATCTCAATTTCTCCTCTTGAATTATTTACCTAAAAAATAAAAGGCCAAACATATCAGCTCCCTTTAAATATCGAAGCTGAGCTTATACAAATAAATACATATTAATTTAGGTTAATAATATTTTTTTATTTTTATTAAATTATATTTAAATTAATTTTTATATAAAAAATAAAAATTAAGATATTATGACATTAAAAATATCAAAATATTTAATAATACTTACATGATAAATTTAATAAAATTATAGTTTATATTATATTTTATATATTTAATAATTATGATTAAATATTCTAATATTAAAAATATTAAGATCTCGTAATGTTTTCTTTACTCTTTTTATCTATTTTAAAAGGAATAGTATTTATTCACCTTATCTCTTAAAGATTAAAAAGAATATTATTATAAAATTATATCATTTTAATAAACAACTATTGAAAAAGATTAAAATATTTTATTTTTAAAGTATAAATTAAGATATTTTTTATTTTTTTTCCTCTTACATTTTTAAAGGTAAGATAGACAAATACTAACCTTATTTTAAAACTAATATTTTTAATAAAATTATAATCCATTTTATGTTTGTTGATATTAAGAGTGGGTTAATCCCCCAATACAATCTTAACAATATGCCCTTCTATCCGTGCCTCAAATGTCCACACCAACAGCCTCCCGCTGTACCCCCCCTCCCTCTCCTCTCCCTTCTCACCTACCCAATTTCCGCCTCTTCTTCAACATATACCACCGCTCAAGTATGCTTCTTCTAACAACAAACACAAGCACCACACTTTCTCCTCCTTCCACCTTCGCCCATGGCTTCCACCGCAAACGCCTTCTCTCCTTCTCTCTCCTACAATCTCAATACCAAGACCAAGTCCTCTACCTTGAAGCCGAGCTCGCCTTCTTTTTTTCAAACTCGTAGCAATGTTTCTGTTCGGGGTTTGTGTTCTGTTGAGTTGAATCGGGGACGAGTTGCTGTGTCGAGATCAAGTCGAATCGGGTTGAGGATTTGCGCTAGTACAGCTGAGTTGATGGAGGCTAAAGCTCCTACCATTGTTGATGTCGATTTGGGTAATCGTAGCTACCCTATCTATATCGGGTCCGGACTTCTTGATCAGCCTGAACTGCTTCAAAGGTTAGCTACCCATTTTCAAAGTTGGCTCACTTCTGTGTGGTTTTAGCTGAAGTTTGAAACTTTGGCAAATTTTATTCATTTCCATAGATTATGTTTTGGTTACTTATAATTTGTTCGCATTTCAATAGGCATGTTCATGGGAAGAGGGTTCTTGTGGTGACTAACAATACGGTTGGGGCAATATACTTGGATAAAGTTGTTGGTGCTTTAACGAGAGGAAACCCTAATGTTTCAGTTGAGAGTGTGATTTTACCAGATGGGGAGAAGTACAAGGACATGGTGGGTTTTTTTATTCTTTTTATTTTTTATTTTTTCATTTACACTTGGCTATCTGAGCAATGTGTTAATTGCAATGGAAGTGACAGTAATGTTTGTGCTTATAGGACACTCTCATGAAAGTCTTTGACAAGGCCATTGAATCACGGTTGGACCGAAGATGTACGTTTGTTGCTCTTGGAGGTGGAGTGATTGGTGATATGTGTGGTTATGCAGCAGCCTCTTTCCTTCGTGGGGTAAATTTTATCCAGATTCCAACAACTGTTATGGCGCAGGTGGGAAGATAAAGATGATTGATTTTTTTCCTTTTTCTTTTGATGCTGCAGATTAACTCATATGTTTAGTGTTTCTTACCTCATTTCTTGATTTTTTTTTAGGTGGATTCTTCAGTTGGAGGTAAAACTGGCATAAACCACCGCCTTGGGAAGAACTTAATTGGAGCCTTTTACCAACCTCAATGTGTGCTTATCGACACCAACACATTAAACACATTACCAGACAGGGAACTGGCATCTGGTCTTGCAGAGGTCATAAAATATGGGCTTATTAGGGATGCTGAGTTCTTTGAGTGGCAGGAGAAGAATATGGAGAGACTGATGGCAAGGTGCATGACTCTACAATAAAATAGGTCTTTATATCCAGCTATATGATGCACATTTCCTAAGTTAAAACATCTGACTATTTTGCAACAACTTGAGAGACAATTTATATAAGATGAAATTCAAAATACTGAGTCTTATTTCCTGCTTTTAGGAATTTGTCTAGTTTTACACTTTTATCAAATCTAGAAGCTAGTGGGTATTAGAATTCTTGTATTTTAGTGACCCTTTTCTTGTTCAGAAAAATAATTTCTTTGTGGTTGTTCTTTTCTTGTCATTATGAATTGTTCAAATAAGTGTGTTTGTCTTTGTTTGGCCATTGCAGGGATCCTAATGCATTGGCTTATGCTATAAAGCGATCATGTGAAAATAAGGCTGAGGTTGTGTCATTGGATGAGAAGGAAAGTGGATTGAGGGCAACATTGAATTTGGGTCATACATTTGGCCATGTAAGCTTTGGGTTTGTGTTTTCGTTTTTATCATCATTATACCATGGAGACGTGTATTGTTAATGCCTGCACACCTTGCTGCTAGTGCTGCTTGTCTGTCTGAGTTGAAGTTCTACCAGAGAATGCCAGAGCATAGCATCTACAAACCTCTAATATTGTTGAACATCTCTTGCATGATTGGACCACGAATGAGTATCTTAAGAAAATAGCATGAATGGTTAGAAAACTAAAAATTTGAGTATCCCATGGCTTTCAACAAGTTTAAGTGCATTCATAGTACCTGACAGTTGGACAGATAAGTTTTTGTTTAAATTCTTCTTTTTTCTTTAAGTTAATTTAGACATCCAATCTTACCTTGCTTTTATTCTTTTTGCTTTGATCATTTTTACATTTTATCTACCCTCTATGTATAGGAGTCTTTAGTCATTATTAAGCAAATACATTATCCTTGCTCAGAGAATTCCCTTCTCTCGTTTCTGATGGTTTGGTGCTTCTTTCCAGGCGATAGAAACTGGGTTTGGATATGGACAGTGGCTCCATGGAGAAGCTGTTGCAGCTGGCATGGTATTCCTTTGGCTATTCTTTTCATTTCTATCCTTCAACCTCTTTATATATCTTAGTCTGTGCTGAACTAGATTGTGTGAACCTCAGGTGATGGCTGTTGACATGTCATATCGCCTTGGTTGGATCGACAGTTCAATTGTGAAGCGAGTTCATAGCATTTTAGAAAGGGCCAAGTTACCCACTGCCCCTCCTGAAACAATGACTGTGGAAATGTTCAAATCTGTTATGGCGGTAAGAAAGCAAAGTTTTTTAATTCCTTTGATCTCAAATAGCATCCTCTTATCCTTGACATGTCTGCTTTTTATCCTTTTGGTATGTGGCAGGTTGATAAGAAGGTGGCTGATGGGCTACTAAGGCTTATCCTTCTGAAAGGTCCTCTAGGTAACTGTGTTTTCACCGGCGATTATGATAGAAAAGGCTTGGATGATACACTGCGTGCATTTTGCAAGTCATGATTCTTGATTTGTTTTATTGCCATACCTTGAGAAGTTCTGGATATTTGATCCCAATTGTTTAAGAATTGTGCGAGTTCTTTGTTCATGTAGTTTCTTGCTTTCCTTAAATTTCTATTGGCAATTGCTATTATAGTGCTTGTAATTTAAAATTTTACGGGGCAATCAATAAAATAAATTTCCGCCTTTTATAACTTCATTATTTGAGTTCTTTGCTCCTTTTCCATTGTGAACTCATTCATGCATTCTGTCCCATGATCTCTTGATTCTCAGTTCATGCATGATGCCCCCAACTGTTCATGCCTTGAGCACCGTAATTCTTGAAACCACATCACACTTGGATGACCAGAGTTTCCAAATCATTTGGACAGAGAGAACTTGCCCTATCAAAAACGTCCTTGTCAAATGGTGCAGAACATTTGTTTTTCCCCAAGCAAAGCTGTACGAGGACAAACAGAAAACAGAAGCTCAAGAGCAGCATGATTCATCCTATGTTTGTTGATAGCAGATCTGGAGTAATTGATTGAACCAGATAAAAAGAAGCTTTCTTTTCCCACCAATAATCAATGATCGCCCATCAAATGTCCCTGTCTTCTGCTGTCCTCCTGCAACCACCACAGCTAACACCCACCAAGAAACTAGAACTGCCAGAACCTAGAGCCACTTGTCTTGCTGTTGACAACATACCATACCTTCAGAGAAACCACAAATTCGAGCCAAAGCCAACCCAATAATTACTGCTGTCTCCTCTATGCTTTAAATGTCTGTAAAGTTTACAGTGTTAAATCATCAGTGCCGTGTTGATTCAAAAAGTCGCTTGATTTCAATTTCTCTGGTTCAAGTTTCTGTTTCACCTGCTTCCCTCTCTCTATCCTCAGTCGCTCGCGGAATTTGAACCGGCCGCCGGACCAAGTCAGCAACCGTAGTCCGAAATTGGCGGGTAAGTTTGGTTTCCCCCTCTCTCTCCATCAGCGGAAGTCTTTCCTATACCTGCGGTTTTAAAAAAGGAAAATAAGACAACAAAATCTGTAATTTCTTTGTTTCATTTTTATTTCTGGAAAGTGACAACCCGATTCAAAACCCGTTTGCGATCCGGATATGATCCGAAATTTTTGGCAGTCGTGCCACCGATTAAATCCCCAAGACATTAATTTTTCATTTTCCCTTCAGATAAAGGGAGAGGATTTGTTCTTGTTGGCGAAGAATTGGTTGCGCAACGAACGGTTCAACAGCATAAATTCCCGGTACCAAGTACCTTAACCAAGACCCTCAACAAAAGTTTCCGCCTTTCCAATTTTCTGGGGTTAGCCCTTTCTTTTCTCTTGAATTTTTCTCTCTTCTTATGGTTTTGTTGCAATTTTTCAGTGTTCAAGTTTCTGTTTTTCCCATCAAGTTTCTTAATTGTTGGAATGGATTATACAGATGGCTGATTGAAAGGAAGAAGACGAACGATTAGGGGTCTGTGCGAGGATATCGACTTCCTTCCCTCGGGCTGTGGGATCTGAGGCTAGATCCTTCGTGGGTTTTTTTCGTTTTTTGTTTTCTGTATAGTAGAGGTTGAAAGATGAGTGCTTCGAGGTTCATCAAGTGCGTCACTGTTGGTGATGGAGCTGTTGGCAAAACTTGTTTGCTGATTTCTTACACTAGCAACACTTTCCCTACGGTAATTTCGTTGTTTTTTTCTTTTTATTATTATTTTTAAGTTGTATGGATTTTAATTATCATATGTTGTTTCTAAAATTTTTGTGCATTTCTCTACTTCTCTCTTCTTTTTCAATTAGCATTTCTGTGATTCTTTTGATTGTGTTTTGGTTTACATTCATTCCTTATGACATGTTATATAAATTGTGTTTATGGAGAAGAAAGAGTGGTATTTGGTTTACATTCCTAGTAAAATATATTATAAAAAGTTTGTTTTTGGGAAGAACAGAAAATGGAACTTTTAAATTTCAGAAATTGGAAGGACAGCCTGCCACTTCTGGAATTTACTGTTTTTTCTCTGGTTTATTTTGGAAATATTATACTTTTTGTTGTCTGATTTGGCCAATATATGAGAATGCATTTGTAGGAAGCTTTTTGACATATTTTTTCTGCTGAAAATGTTTCATAAACAAATGTTTTGTTTGCATTACTTTGGTCCACTGTTTAAAGGAGGATGCTAAAGGAAATTTAGTAGCCTTTTATCTGACAAATCTTTTGTTGTGTGATGGAGAACAGGACTATGTGCCTACTGTTTTCGACAATTTCAGTGCAAATGTTGTTGTTAATGGGGCTACTGTTAATCTGGGGTTGTGGGATACTGCTGGTAACTTTCTATTAGCAACTTTTCTTCTTTATCTCTATATTTTTTGGAAGAATTTCGTAGGTTAGTGTTCCTTTTACTGGGCCTTAAATTTCATTTTATTTAAAACAGGGCAAGAAGATTATAACAGATTAAGACCTTTGAGTTACCGTGGAGCTGATGTGTTCATATTGGCTTTCTCTCTTATTAGCAAGGCCAGTTATGAAAATGTTTCAAAAAAGGCGAGAGGCTGTTTTCCTGTTTTGAGATAAAGAGTCCACTTAGTGGACTGGTTTCCAATATATAATTTTCTGATTTTCCACTTGGCTTCTTTTGCAGTGGATTCCAGAGTTGAAACATTACGCCCCTGGTGTCCCAATAGTTCTTGTTGGTACTAAGATTGGTAATTTTTCTCCTCTTCTAACATGTTTTCTGGTGCTATTATGGCAATTTACTTCTTAGCTCCCTTGCTTTTATGCATGTGGAATATCTCAGCAATATATGTTTGTCCTTTTTTTATGATTCGTCTTGTCCAAAAGAGTTTGTTTTTCCATCTTATTCTTACGTGTATGATGTGGATGCTGTAAGGAATTAATGTTATTCCATTTAATTTTAAATTTCAAAAGAAACTTGATTAAGTTAACATTTTCTAGAATAGGTAATGATATATTTAGCAGTAGGTAACTTGTAATTATCTTGCATAGAATTCAGCAAGTTCCTATTTATAGGTCCCTCTGTTTTCTTTTACAAATCTTTTCACATGGAGCAAACCACTAGGATGTGTTTTTTCTTCTCTCCTGATATTTTAGTGTTTGGTAGCTTAACTGTTATCAGATAGCTTTCCTTGCTATTATATATTGTCATGTAAATGTACAAGTTGCATTTGTAATCAGCAGTCTGTACTCTAGTAGTTTTCCTTGAAGGTTGATTCAATTGGCTGAAAAGATATGCTTTCAAATAGTTCCTGCCCCTTTTGCCACCGAAAAGTTTCTGCTCATAAATCTTCTTTGCTTTGAGGAGATTATAGGTATATATGTTGGTAGCATCGGGAGGCTCCTGTTGATTTAATGATTTTAATAATTTTTTAACAACTCCAATTGAGTAATAAATGGATTTTGCATGAATTGTCAGTACATCTGTGATCTGTGCAAGCAGAGAAAAAGTTTTAAGTAAGAGTTCTTGTAATAATTGCTAGAGTGGAGTTTCTTTGTTTTAGTTTAGAAATAGAAAGAAACATAAACAAAAACAAAAAAGATATTAATTTTGTCATGTTTGCCTCTGCAAGGTTACTACTGTGATCATTTTGTTTGATCAGGAAATATCAAATGCTTATAAACAGGTTTTATCACTGCCTATGCTGCCCACCACTGTGTCAAGACTTAGTTTATCCTATTTGCTCCTTCCAAGTTTGTTTTTGGCAATAAATATTCTGGCTGAAGTACATTAAGTTTTTTTCCTTTTTGGTTATCAAGATTTAGTGCTTAGGTTTTTATGTCTTCAAATGAGCCAGATCTTCGGGATGACAAGCAGTTTTTTATTGACCATCCTGGCGCTGTGCCCATTACTACAGCACAGGTAATGATGTTGCACTACTTCTCCAGACCAGTCATAATTTTTCTGTCATGTAAATGAATTGTTTATTATTGGCTGTTGTCTGATCTGCATCCTATTTCCCATTTTATGCCCAAGGGGGAGGAGCTGAGGAAGCTGATTGATGCACCTGCTTACATTGAATGCAGTGCAAAAACACAGCAGGTATATAGATTGTTTTTGACTCCTGCCCATGCTTTTATCTCATCTCAATACTTGCTTTGTATTCAAGGAATTTGTGGAATTAAACGCAGAATGTGAAGGCAGTTTTCGACGCAGCCATCACGGTTGTCCTTCAACCTCCCAAGCAGAAGAAAAAGAAGAGACGGGCGCAGAAGGTCTGCTCCATATTGTGATTGAAAAGATGTAAAAAAGGATAAAATGTCTCTTTCCTACCCATGATCTCCTTACCCTAATCCACCTCTTTCTTCATCCTGTTGCCTTGGAAGGTTAGTAGAAGCCATTGTTGTGAATCTTCTGATATCCAATTGTTGAAACGCTGAAACGTTGTTACCCACCTGTTTTTCATCCGGTTTTGATTTTTTTGTGCCAATGTTCTGGAACTTCCAGTTAGGAAATTGCATGGACTCCTTTATATTTCTCAACCTAGTATGTTCTTGAGAGGCTATGTTTATATGCTCCTCTTCTTTAAAAACAAAAGTTCCTGATTATCTGTGTGCTCAAATAATCCTTGGATTCGCTCCATGGCTATATATATATATATATATATATTGTCAGCTTCTGTGGGAAAGAAGAGGTTGCCTTAATAGAAACTGCAGGAGCCTGGGAAGGGATTTATTCCCTTTTTGTAAAGCTGCCTGGTGTAAGGTTGTTGGTCCATGTTCGCTTTTGATTTTCCTTTTTCCTCAAGGGAGATATTCTGCAAGTACTCATAAAATTCAAATCGTATTGTTAACGTGACGTTCTGCTTAGATTCTTTGCTGTTTCAGCTGAGATCGAATATCTTTTAATTTGTGGGGAATAAGTTCGATAGAAATGGCTGGCCAGGGCAGCCCCCTTGCCCAGATTCGTTTCATGGAGCATCCTCAACGTCCCTTTCTCTGTATTTGCTCTCGTGTTGTTACGCACAAAGAACCTCTCTTTGTATGAACGACTTCAATTATTCTAAAATCGTTGGGATCATACGTAATGTACTTAGATATTGCACTAGTTAGTTGATGCAAATTTAGTTAAGCTTCTGTTGGCTAAAGGGTTCTGTTGAAAAATACTGCAAGTTATATCTCTTTCCGAAATAAAAATAAGATGATTCGTGCCAAATTACTCTTTTTCTCCGAATTTATTCTCTCTAGTTTGCATCCACTTCTTTCCACACCAAAAAGACAACTGGACCGCTCTACCTACAGCCGCCTCTCCTCTCTTCTCTTTATATGTACTCAAATCTTCAAGCAACCATGTGGGATATCCATAGATCATAGTCTTCTCTCTAATCTCGGATTGACACTGATAGAGAAGCCTTTTTTTCAAGTTTTGCCTGAATGGCATCGAAGAGAATTCTCAAGGAGCTCAGGGAACTGCAGAGAGACCCTCCCAGCTCAGGCAGTGCAGGTACATGAGTGTATGCTAACAGTGAGAAAGTTACTAACCAAGGTTTTTGGATCTTTTAGTTTATGTTTTATCCGTCCAACTCTAGGTCCTGTGGGAGAAGACATGTTTCATTGGCAAGCGACGATCGTGGGCCCAAGTGACAGCCCTTACTGCGGAGGGGTTTTCCTTGTCACCATTCATTTCCCTCATGATTACCCTTTTAAACCTCCCAAGGTTACATGCAGATCTCCTATTGGCATCATGGATTCATGGAAATGGAATTCTTGATGATTGATTCCGTGGGTTTTACTTTTGTTAGGTTGCGTTTAGGACCAAAGTCTTCCATCCAAATATAAACAGTAATGGGAACATCTGTCTAGATATTCTCAAGGAGCAGTGGAGTCCTGCCCTGACCATATCCAAGGTCGTTAATGTGCCGCTTGTTTGTAGGATTAAGTTTTGAAACACTGATAAATTGTAGATGATGGAAATTTTAATTCATGCAGGTTTTGCTCTCCATTTGTTCTCTGCTTACAGATCCAAACCCTGATGACCCACTGGTGGCGGAGATTGCTCATATTTACAAGACTGACAAAGCAAAGTATGAAGCAATGGCCCGTAACTGGACCCAGAAATACGCTATGGGCTAACTCCCTTGCCACATAAATAAGACAACGTTTTGCTTATGTTCACTGTACTCCCTTCTCTGGGGTTTTAATTATGAACATGGATTAAATAAATGGCTGGAATAATTCTCAGGTAATAACAGTCCTACTATTTTATACCCATGTCAATGACCTAGTTGTTGGATGGTTATATAAGCAAATCCGATTCCCTAAGGTAATGATAACGAATACGAAAACCACTCTACAAAGCTCCCACAAAATAGATTCACCTCAGCCACATGAAACATCCAGCATCAAACCTGGATAGAATCATATTTTTCACCTATGGCACCGCCTTTTTGTTTCTGGAATTGTATATACCTCAATGTACTGGCAAAGAAAGCATCAGCTGCTGGATCTGGTGTGCTAGAGTCGCTTTGCATTTCGGTTGTAATCAATTCAATTAGGCTCTGGATTGCATCAACTGTTATCTGTGGGTTCCCCTTCTCAAAGAAATATAGGTACCTGCGAGAGTGGTAGGGTTATAGTTTCTATCTTCCATAAATTAAGACCATGTGGAGGCAACACTAAGTGGTGCAAATATTACTTGTTTAGTATCTCAACAAACGGTGTGACTGATCCAGTGCTACCTCGAGCTGCATTGGCCATTTGCTGAGCAGCATTTGCAATTCTTAATGCACGCTTGAGGCAAAGCAGTACCCTGGAAAGAGAAAAAAAAATAATAAAAATCTTCACATTTGGATGATCCATTGAGACGACTTCCCGCAACAGCATATTCCTCAATTGGCCAATATTTGCTAGTATTAAATACCAACATAAGGGAGATGGGAAATGTGGGCAAGGTAGCATCATGGGTATTAGACATCAATCTAAGGTTCAAAATATATCAAGCAATATCAAAAATACTAGCCATTCTAAAGAGAATTAGAGAGGAACAAAGAGAAAGGTATTAAAATTTAAAAGAGTGAATCTGGCAACATTGGCATTTTCTCTACCATAAGAAGATCCAATTGTTTGACCAAAAAAATACCATCCCCTAGAACATTGACAGGATTGCATGAACACATAAACACATATGTTAACCTACCTCTCTCCATCTTTGATGTTATCCTGATCATCAACCCAGAAGAGATGAGAGCATGCATAAACAGCTCTGGACTGATCAGGCTTCTTCAATAGCTTTGCAGAGTACTGTTTACGTACAGGACATCAGATCACATATCAATGCTATGGTTGAAGGAGCATTAGGTAGCTCAATAAATAAATGAAATGATAGAAACATACCCCTGTAGCCTTGTGTGTTAAAGTATCCCTATTTTCAACACCAAACACATGCATCCTCTGAAGAGTCCCTATTATCAAATATGTTGCAGTCACCTGAGCCCTTGAGTCCTGCACCACCAAAAATTCCAAAAAGAAAAATACGCATGTCTTTTTTGTTGAATAGGTTAAAGATACCCTCTAATGGACATTACATAGATCACCAACTTACAGAAATTTCTTCCTCATATAAAATATATGCTTGGGTGAAAAATTCATATGCCACAGGTTCTAAATCACAGTCATTTGCAGCCTGATTAATGGAAAATTCATCGCAAATACCAGTTAGAAACCAGACTTTGCTAATTAGTCATCTCAAAATATTAGTCATCCAGATATCAACTTGTACCTCAGCACATTGCAAGTACAATCGTAATGCCAATTCAGGGGCTGGAACATTAGACAAAGTCTCAACAGTCTGAAACAAATAGTCATTAACATTAAAAAAAAAAAAAAAGGGCCAGGGAAAGATAGATTGTGAACGTAAATTCAAGTGGGTCCTCAAATAAACATTTAACAGATTTCAAATTTGAAAATGCAAGGGTATTTTGAGCCTGAATGAGTGGATAAAATCCAGCTTTAATCCAGTAAAATAAACCTGACAAAATAGCCAATCATAAGGAATGCATCAATCACTTAACTGGTAATAAGCCCTTACCTGATTCAAAAGCTGGAAAATTTTCTTTGGTGTAGTAGAAGCATCACCGAAAGGATTTTCATCCTTGCCTTGCAGTTGCCTGACCAACTGACAAATTGATTGGAAAAAAATCAATTAACTTTCTTAGAATATGAAATAAACTATTCCCACAAAATTTCAGTTCCGTATTGAGGAACAAAAACTGAAGAGGAAGAGGGGATTTCAGTATTTTTGAATATATGAGAAGTATTAAGAATAAACCAAGAAGGAATCCCAATTATGTTTCTGACACAGGCACTTATTGTTTTCAAAGTCCCCAGCTGCACCAAACCATGAACAAGGAAAAATGACAGCTAGATAGAGTATAACTTGTCTTCATTCATTAACATACCATATTTAATATGCTATCCAAGCTAGACAGAGTAAGAAACCAACCTTAAGTGAAGAAAAGACAAGGGGAGGAACAGTAAAGGGTAGACGCTTTGGTCCTCCAGTTAGGATATGCTTCCTCACAGTACATATAATCTGCAGTTAACACATAGATTCAGACAACGACTACTGTCAACAAAGCTTGATATTTAATACTAATCACATGGAAAGCCAGTATCCAAAACACAAAATCAACAAAGGAATATATTCACACACACACACACACACACACACACATATAAATTTTAAACTCCAGAAATTTCATAAAGAAAACCACAACACATGCAGTTGCATACTATGATTATGGAACTAAACAAGAGGTCTAAACATGTGGATGCAAGACCAAACAAAGTACCTTAAACATCTCTTCTATATCATCATTATATAGCATCTGGATAAGACGTGCAACAGAATTCTGCTCCTCCCTGAAGTCATCTTCATCAACCTGAAAGTAAGAGAGCAATAAAAGCATTTAAGCATAATCAAGCAATGGGCTCAGTTTCAAGGCATGTGAGAATCAATGAGAAAAATCACTCATCTAGTTGCCAGCATTAGAAACAGAGCAACAATATTGGTGAAAGTGTAATGTCCAATAAAAGACTTGCCCTCCAGTAACATCAATCTCACAAGAGGCAAATCTCTAATTACCTCATCATGAACAGTTCCATCCAAATCCTTAATAAGACCTTTTATTAGTCCAAACAATGCCTCAACCTGCCACAAAAATATAAATAAATAAAACAAAGTGATCAGAAACCATGCTTGAGAAAGCACTCTTAAAAGAACGAATTAACTACAGGATAAAAATTTACCTTATCAGCTGTAGAAATACGAGTTTTGTTCTTCAAAATGCTTTGAATTATAATAGTGGCCATGACTTTATTTGTTTCAATGTCAAGGTATTCCATTATGAGGGGATAATTTGAAAGTTTTAAGGCAGTATCAATATCATTATACTTCTCAAGTGGAGCACTTAAAAGTGAAACTATCTGTTTTGTTGCTTTGTTGTCTTCAAGCATTCCTTTTCCAGAGAGCTTTTTAACACATGCACCCTGCATAATAATGGGGAGAAGTTGCTTCTATAAGCTTCCTTGATAACAAGAAAGCATATGAAAGAAAAAAATAGCATCATTATAAGCATCCATCATAGCTTACAGCAGGACTGTGTGTTCCATGGTCTGAAGCTTAATGGTAAAGACGGACCATGAAACATCACAGTTCACAAACACCTTGTTTCCACTTATTCAATAAATATGCTACCAAGTTCCAGTAATCTACTCCACTGCCCAATAAGAATTTAGAAGGGGAGACTTGACACTGGTTTCCAAGTATCTTTCTTCACATATTAAAGCAATAGGCAACAGTAGGGTATGCATGCAAACATCATATATTCTGATCATTTTTACTCATCATCACATTATTTGAAATTTAAATCGTATTTAGTTTTACATAAAGTTTCTCCATGTCAGAAAGTTCCGTTCACTGTTCAAGAGAAAATTTGGTATCTTAGTATGAGTCTTATCCACCACTTAAAATATAAAATTCACAAAACAGTGCCCCAATCTACCATGATTTAGTATCACTTGCTGAAAGGCAAAGTATAGGAACATCCACTAGCAGATGGAAATTACCAACGATATAGCTCCAACCTTCTACATTTTGATTTTTCAGATGTTCTATACATGCATACAAAATAAGTCCATTTTTCTTCAAAAGGAGCTAAACTACAAAAACTGCAAATATGAATGAACCTTGTTTATGAACATTAGAAGTTAAAACCAAAGCACCTGTACATCAAAATTTATACAAAGTTCAAGGAGGTCACATACCAATACTTGATCTGCATAATCAAGCCGATCAGGGTGGACATGGAGAGTAAATGTGAGAAGAGATGAATACAAAGTTATCACTCCAAGAGTAGGCATGTCAACTTGCGCCTCTATCACCTGAATTGCCATACAGGTATTATATTCTAAGTCATTTACAAGATTAAAAAAGAAAAAGGAAAAGAAATTCGACTGGATAATGGTCATGCAAGAACAGAACAGAAGAACTTGACTATTTACATTTAAGTTGGTCAACTTAAGCATAACTATGTAGAGGCACAGGATTTACCTTTCCAATGGCATTGTTCAACTTTGAAAAGGCTTTTACTTGCAAGAACTCAGGCAACACATCTGTATTTGAAGCAGCATAATTTGAAAGCCTTTCCATTAATCGAGATAGCACGGTTTTGATGTCAACAGATGGCTGGAAAGTAAAAAACAGTTAATTTCAACTTTCAAGTAGCAAAAAAGATATTAGCAAACTTAAATTTGTCACCATTACAGTACATCTATCAGTCTTTTCTTGCCCTGAGGAAATGTTCTAGGAAGTCTGAAAAGGAAAAGAAGCATAAAATGTACCTACCTGAAGCTGTGGACAAGCGCCCAATAATACATCAAGAGTTTGCAAGTGATATTCATCAGGAAAGACTTGAATTATGCAATCCATCAGGTAATACTGTGCAAGCTCATCCTTACAGTTGACAACCTTAGAAAAAAATTTAAATACAGAAACAGTTGCTGGATCATTAGAAATGAGTTAAATATCATAAGTGGCATGAGATGACAGAAGATGGAAGGTTCAGTATCAATATCCAACCTGCTCAAGGACTCTGGGAAGAACAATTTCCTTGTACATCTCAAGGTCAACACCCTCTATCTGACTAAGCACATGGAGATTCTTTCCAACCTAATCACAAACCAAACGGCAAGGGCCACAAGATCTATGGTAAGTATACAGAACAACATGCACAGAATTATTGCAGCACAAATTACCAGTTACTGGTCAATGACATTACAAGATCACGCAGCTCGCTCCTTTCTTTCTCCCGTTTATCCTTTTCTCGGGCAGGTCCCTGCAGACCAGAAAGCCCGACAGCAAGCCTCAACTCATGATCAGCTAAGAGTATGAATGATTGACAAGCACTATAACACCTGCATGACCAGAAATCATGCCCTCATGACATAGTTTTACCTCCTGGCATGCAAGCATTGTGGTAGATGCATGTCAAACATGAGAGCAGGAAACAGTCCATGGACATTTCAACCAACCTGATGCTGCATTCGCACCCACAATTTGTTCATCTCTGTGAAGTTTTGGAGCACAAACTCAACAGCATCCATGACACTGTCAGCATCCCTATAGGACTCAAGAAAACATTCCAAGATCAATTCCAAACTTAATCACTATCTTTAATGAGTAGGGATCCATTTACACACAAATCTTACACACCATACTTACACAAAGTCCTGATCATTCATCTCTCCACTTTCAATGATTGAAATTTATTCACTTTTTATCATATTTATTAAAGATAATTATCTTTTTCATCTAAAAAATTGTGATAAATCTCAACCATTGAAAGTGGAGAGATGAATGATCAAGATTTTATATAAATGTGGTGTGTAAAATTTGTGTGTAAGTAGATCCCTACTCATCTTTAATTGCAGGTAGAAAATGTAGAAAGTAGAAAAGGCAACTCATCAATTGGACAAAGAAAAAGTATGATCAGGTAGTAAGTTGGTCAATAGCAGGATTAAAATAATCCTAATCTTAAATATCAACTCCACACATGTTATTCCAGTGCCATACCAAGATAGCAATGTCACAGAAATGATTTAGGAATCCAATGAAATTCTGGTAATTAATTTTGAAATAAATGGATGTATAAAACAGAAAACCATTTTTCACATTACCCTTCATATTCAGAACCAATGTCAGGTAATTTGTCCCTACTAACTTGAGCAAGATAACTCCTGAGGAACAGCCCACGTACAGGGTGCTGAATGCCACGGCACATTTCTACCAAATCTTTAAGAACATCCTTTGCAGGAGCTTCCTTAGATTTGATATATACAGATCCTACGGTACATAGGAGATACCTGGCAGATTGAAGACTTGTCATATGACAACCTCGTAGTCAACAAATTAAAATCCGAGAGAACTAAAGGGCATATTTTGCCTATATAAGAGTGACTCTTGCTCTGACAGACAAAAAGCACTAAAAAGAAGCATTTGAATGATGCTGTAGCCTGGCCAAAAAAAGAGAGATGGAGAAATGGAGTATGCAAAACTACTAAAATACAAGTCAACCACATTTAGTTAAAATGTAGAAGAGCAAATATAAAGTAAAAACACCATCTACATTTCATAATACAGTACGAGCAAAGCCACCTAAAATAAAAAAATCAGACCAGTGGAGCATCTTATCAGATCGTATTTTATGCAAATCAACTAATCAAGGCTGTAATAGTGGGAACATATCAACTAGATCAAGCAAACGCAAAGACTAAATCATCACGACATCATAAGCACGCAATACATACATGAATATACAGAAAACATTGGAAAAGAGAAAAACAATAGTAAGATTTACGCTTACAATCTAGGCAGTATGTTTCCAGCATGCTGAACAAGCTCATACAGATTGATAATGGAGCAACCACGTCTTGTTTCTTCCTTGAAGAACATCTCCAGCTTCCTCAACTCATCAAATGCTCGCATATCTGGAGAACAACTCGCAAATCACAGACCATAATCCAAGACATTTCTTCGCTAAAATCAAAATTGCAACTAAAATCGCATAGAACCAAAACCTACAAAACAATTCAACAAAAAAGAAAGATCGGATCGGAGAGAAGAGCTTACAAAGTGCGTAGTATTTGTGAGGGGAAAGCTTGGAGGTGCGAAGCTCTGATAGCATCTGAGCAGAATACTTCAAGGCATCTCTAAGATTGTTTGAGTCCTAAAAAAATTCAGCAAGCTAAATTAGGTTCCACTGTTAAAATTCCAGGAGGTATCTCGGAGTATCCATTCAATCTCACTTTCCATTGAATCAAACAAAGCGTAAGAAGAAATTGGAAGGGAGTTCACCAGAGCTCGATGCATGTAGAAGGCGTTCTGCTGGAGGCCGGCGATTCCAGCGGCGAGCCATTTCTCTTCGTCTTCCACTCCCTCCGCCATCATTCTCTTCTCTCTCTCTCTCTCTCCTCTCTCTCTCTAAAAAGGTAAAAGACTAAAACGCCTTTTAGTTGTTATCGAATTTACGTTTTGACTTGCAGTTGATGACATTTGTTGTGAGATCGACGCGGTTACGCAGTTGCTTTGATCTCACCTTTACTCCTATTTTATCCAGAATTTTACAATAAGATTAGAATAAGATTACGGTTTTAAGTGTAATAAATATTTTTTTATTATAAATTAAAAAAAAAACAAATTAATTTTTAATTTATTAATAATATAATTAAGTTTATTTGGTAAATATTGAAAAAGTACTTTAATACATATTAAAAAAATTATTAATATATTTAAAATTTATTTACATATATTATTGACATAAAATTTTAATCGCTGAATTCAAACTCAATTTTATATTTTAGTTTGTAATTAAATAGAGTTTCAGATTGACAATTTCAATCCAATATCTACAAGCCTCCCCTAATCAAATATTAAGTAATATTAGTAAGTACACCTAACTTTATAGCTTTATAGATCATTTAGTTAAAAAGTGCATCTCCAACATGAGATGAATTGAAACCCTTCCCCTATCCTTAATTACCCTTGCCAAAAAAAATGTAATACCAATAAATGTTATACAATTTAAATTATACTAGTACTTTTTTTAATTTGAATTATACAGATAAATTCACCCATAAATCCACTCGGGTATCAGCTTGGATTAGCAATGTTTTTTTTTTTTTTTTACCTTTCTCTTTGATTACAAATTTACAATGGGGGAAGAACTGCCATATGCCTACAATTAACCATCCCAATAATGCATCAGAGCGTAAGACTCCACTCTCATACAACACTCAGAACTAATTGCACCTTCATCCCTGACCACTAGTCAAGTTTTGGCTAGGCAATAGGCATGGTACCAAGATACCTTTGTGTCACAAATCATAAACTTAACTTGACTGTCTTCGGTAAGGGCAGAAGATATCTGAGAACATTTAAGCAATCGGAGGCGCAGAAGAAAACCTGTTTAGTAAAAATGAATTGCTTATATTACTCAAAAGAATTGGACATGTGATGCTTCGATATATTTTTCCAACGACAAAATAGTGGAAAAGCCCATGCTGATCTTTATCAACGCTTCTGTAACAATCCTGCTCCACAGAATCCATTCTCAGGACACTGCATGTGAAAGCCAAGTCATCCAAAGACAGAGAGAGAGCAAGTAGAATGCTGGCAACAGAATCTTCACACATTCAGCACCCAACCAAGAATAGTTTTCTCCAACTTTTACACCTTGGTTGCCCATCTCTTGTTCTAGAATGGGAGTGTGAATTCTAAAATGGTATTGTGAATGGTAAAGCATATGTATCAACCTCGGGTAAGTGGCAAGCACATGGCCAAAGCGATGGATTTCCTTGACTCAAGCAAACATTTCCAAGTTCCATTCTTTTAGCCATGGGCTGGTGATTCAGCATTCTCTGGAATAGCCATTCCTTCTCTTCAGAACCAGCACTCTCCAATGGAGGTGGAATCCAGTCCTCTACAAGATTTTTAAATTGCAATGCTAATGTGGGCGGGCAACTGCTGCACAATTTTGACATCAAAGTTGCCTCAGCCTTGTCTGCAAATCTTTCTGGTGCACAAGATGACTGGTGGGGTATATCTTTACTAAGCTTCAGAGTTATTCTTGGGCCAGCATTTTGCGGAATAGAACAAGGATTTTCTCCAAGTTCTATGCCTGGTACAGAAGCAGTGTCAACCATCCCTTGAGCATAGGCATTCTTAATCCTTCCAAAGGCAGAGGAAGGGTGCTCCTTGCTGCTGGGTGTAAGTTCTGGATCTTTGTGCCTTTGAGAAGCAATCTTGATCCGGACAGATATTCCTTCACATCAATAATAAGAAACTGAGTCCAGAACATCAATGCCATTGAGAAGCAAATAAACCCTACTAGAAAACTGCCTCCCCCAACTAAGGAAGAGCAGCAAACACACTCACCAGGATTGTGGCTGCTGTCAGAAGGGGGACTCTGTTTCTGCCTTTTGTTGCTGTTAAGGGTGCTATCAGAAGAGTTCTGGGATCCAACAGCCTGCCCATCTTCTTCAGTAAGGCTACTCTTTTCATTGTTTTCCACTTCAGTTTCACTCCTCTTTTGATGGTCACCTCCTTTTGGATCTTGACTCCTCTCATCTCTATGCCTTTTTCTATGACGGTGCTTCTTACCTTCAATCTCTCCACCTTCCCTGGCCCTCTCCTTCGCTTTCTTCTCACATTTTTTCTCCTTTTTCCTACCTTTCCTTGCCTTCTCTTCCTCCCTCTTAAGCTTCAAACCAACAGAATAAAAGTCAATTCACACCATACTGAAGTAGTAAAAACTAACAAAAACAAGAAAGCCAAGTTATAGTGCAGGACAACATAATCAAAATGACTCACTATTGCCATGACAATAGCATAGCAGCCACCAGCATAACAAAACAATAAAAAATCAGTTCTAAATTCAGAAGCAGATTCAGTAAAAGAATCGCATCTCTCATATAATTTCCTTTTGATATATCGTACTTGTAATTCTATACCATTTTGCAGAAAAACATGAAATAACAATCAACGTTCTCTTCCACTCCACTCAAAGTAATGTCTTAAAACAAACTTACACCAGCGTATGCTAAATGAACAAAATGCCCCATACTCCACACACAGGAATGCATCTTCATGAATAAATCATCAAAGCCATAGACTATCAAAAAGTCACAGACACAATACTCCCTAACTGTTATGAAGTTAATATCACCAATTTATGCCTCAGTGAAGAAAAATTAAATCACCAAAAATCACAACTATTGCTAAAATGCATCCAAAGAAGTACATGACCAACAATTTGCAGTTGTGCACTTGGGGCATTTCAAATACACATCAGCTAAGTGCATTAGACACCAGAACCCAATCCAAACAGGTAGTGGAATACCCCAATGGCATCATTCAATTCAGTAGACAGTTTACGCGAGCTTATATGCCAGCTATAGATGTAATATTAGCGCAAAGTAACAATCTTTTCATTTAATTGGTATACTTCCACTCTTCAAATCTCAAAAACCCATTACCAAAACAGTTTTGAAACATACAATTTCAAGTCTCACATAATAATTCACCTTAATACCCAATTGAAGCAAGAAATTCCAACTTCAAAAACCATTTCCAGTCCCATCCATTAGCTTCCAGTTCTTTAACACCCAGCACTTTTTTCTTATGTTTAGGGTAGATCACAATCTAAAGCAATCTATTTGGCAACCGAATAAAGTAGTCGAGCAGAAACGCTAAAAACTCAACATAGCATTGAAGCCATGGATGCTCAACAAACCTTAATCGATTCAATCAGTGCCTCATCGCGGATGCCGTTCTTCACGTACCCTGGAGGAGGATACGGAAAGCACCGAGACATCTTTTGCTAGACCACCCCAAACCAGACAGAATAGCAAAACCTAGCTTGAACAAGATCGATCAAGAAAAAAACAGTATCTGGGGTTCAATTCCAGCTTTAAGGGAAGATCCTGAACTTGTCCCGCCAAAAATTTGAGAGATCAAGATAAAACTGATTCTAGGGTTAGGGTTTCAGGAAGAGAGGCGAGATCCAGGGCGCGAGGCGACTTTGGCTCCGAAACCAGCCTTTCGTTCCCTAGAGGGGCTATTTATAGAGCCGACGCGTAGGAACGCGGATTTAAAGGGTCCGTTTGGAAACAGAAAGATAGTATCCGAACTAGTCAACTAGAGATAAAGTTGTCATTAGTCCCGTTTTGTATAAGAATGTCTTTTTGGGCCTTTTGGCCTTGAATTTTTTTATATTTCCAGTGAAGTCCTAACTTATCAAAACAAGATCCAATTTTACAAAGTGGACAACATAAAGAAAATGAAGTCTCTATAGCGAAATCATCATAAGAGAAGAGTGCTTGTGTATCAAATCTTTAAAAAAATTAGGACCATTGCTCAATAAATTTTTATTAAAAAAAATTAAAATAATTTTTTTTTAAAATCAAAAAGAAGATTATTTGCATCGTAGTTCATGGTACATTAAAAAGAATTTTTTTAACTTGTATTTTTAAGATACAACTTAAAAATATAATAAATATATTATTTTATTATAAATTTATATTAAAAAAATAAAAATTAACCTTTAATCTATTAATTATTTAATTCAATTCATCTACTAGACACCAACACTATAATTAATATCAATTTTTATATTTTTCTATATATATTTATGAAAAAAAGATATTCTTAATCTATATCCAAATTTAAAAAAACCCCTATTGAAATTTCATTATTTTGAGGTTGTTTTCCTAATTTTTAAAAATACAACTAATAAACACTAAATTTTTATCATAAAAAAGTTTATCAATCTTTAAAAAATTAAAAATAAATATTTTTAAACTATATAATCTTAACAAACTTCTATTAAAAAACATTAAAATAATTTATTTTTAAAATATGAAATGCACTACTTCGGTGTAACATTAGTGGATTCAAATATTCTCTTCATTTATTAAGAGTAGTATGATAATTTCATGTTGAAAAACACTTTTTTTTAATCAAAATTATTCACATAAGCACATAATCTATAGACTTATAGACTGTTTGCTCACACGTGTTTTCGGTGTTAACTATTAGAGTAATATGAAAAGCACATGTTGTTGTTGTTGTTTTTTTTTTTTTTTTTTTTTAT